ATACAGTTCGTGGCAACAGGAAGAGACACAGCTTGTGTCAAGGTTCTTCGCGACATTGAAGTAGGGGAAGAAATTACTTGTTTCTACGGAGAAGATTTTTTTGGAGATGGTAACTGTTATTGCGAATGTGAAACGTGTGAAAGAAGGGGAACCGGAGCATTTGCAAATCAAAAACCAGGAGAAGAACTTTCATCCGGTATTGAATTTAAGAACTGAATTTAAAACAACATCGATATACGTGTATATACTCATCTTGAAAATTTCAACAGGCTATCGTTTACGAGAAACAGACAATCGTATCAATCGTACGAAACATAGACAACAGCCGCTAAGTCGTAATAAGCAACAAGCCGATACTGCTCTCACAGAAAGAAACGCAGTGCTTGTCGGTAATGCTGCTGTAGCGCCGCAGAGTCTTAGCATGAAAGAATTAAGAAGGAAGGGATTGACAAAATATGACGCAGAGTTATTAATTGCACAAGGATGTCGCTTTTCTGATATTGCTCAACAGCAACCTATTACAAATAACGGGGAAAATGTGTTACAAACATCTCGACCTCACCCAGTTGCCATTACAAATTCCGCGACGAGAAATCTACGAAATAAACATTTGTGCAAATTTGACAGTAACAACGATCATCAGAATAACGTTAAAAATCACACGCTTCGATCATCCAGGTAGGATACTTTATTACTCGCAATTATTACATTATTACAAATTATAAATTGCAAGCTATAAAATGAAAATAATGCATTAAAAACTTCATCCGCAGACTCCATAAAAGGACCGAATCAAAAAAGAACAAAGTTTCCGAAAAAGCTGTATCTCCTTGTTTAAATGGTTCCATAATAAAAACTATCGAACTAGAAGACATAGGTCATCGTAAGGAAGATTCTGACAGAGTAGACGAAGAAATTATATATTCCAGATTACACAAGACTCATTCAAAAAACAACTCAGACGAGGAAACTAACAATATTTGCCATGTTCAGACCTCACGTCAGGATATACCGGAAGAATCAACTTGCTCTAATCTTCAAAGAGAGCGTTCAGATTTAACATTCGTTAAAAATAACAAAGAAGAACCAAATAACAAATTGGTAAACGAAAAAGAAATACCCGATATCATTATAGAAATTAATTCTAATTCAGTAGGTAATATTAATACTTCCAATTCTAAAAAAGAACACTATAGTACAAATTCCTGTGATTCAGTTCGTACAAGTTCCATACCTGAAAGCCGATTAGACGATTTACACGAAACTGAGAGCGAGCCAATCTCACGAGAAAATCGTCAGTCGAGAATCTGTCATTATAATAATTTGTCTTCAGTTGAAAATTCCAAAGACACGAATAACATTTCGACAACAAAGTCGAACATTTGCGTCAAAAAATGTTTAGAACTCGAACAGAAAGTTTTGAAAGAAGAAAAAGAAAAATATCACGAGCTCGCGCGTAAGGATTATTCTCGCAAAAACGAAGAACAAATACCTTTACTTCGTATAAAATCTCCTAAAAATTCGAATTTTCTAGAAACTGACACAACGGCATCTACGTTCGATATACACGAATGCAATAAAGATTCAGAGAAAAACGATTCTATAAGTTCAAATGCACTGGTTAAATACTTGATAGAAAACGAGGCAAATAAATTTGACAGGTTTGTTTCGGATTCTAACGAGTCTCCAGATAACAACGAACACGGTAAAATGATATTTGTAAAAGAAAATACGGATGTAGAACGTAACAAACGAAATTGCCAAAATGATTCAACGATGAAAAATAATATATACGCAGTTAACGTCGAAACGTCAGAAATAAAATCTGAAAAAACTGAAATTATCGATACGTGTACGGATGATGTACATTCTCGGGTAGATCCTTGCAAGGAAAATAACAAAAATTTCAGTACGATGGAAACTAACAATTACAGTGAAATTAACAAATGTAATTTAGGGGATACTCGCAACGCTATTTCAAATCAACCCACGCAAAAGAACGATTCATCACACGCAACACTAAGATCTCACAAAAATAGAAGAAAACTTTTGAACCAGAAGAAATCTACAATTTCTGAACCGACGAGAGAAGAATTGGAAACTGCTATGGAACACAAAATTACCGACAATACGATCGCAGCTGTTTCAAAAACCCGCAGCAAAGCAGAAAAAGCAAAAAGCAGGTTGACGAGAAGTCAGAAACGAGATCGAAAAAAAATAGCGACTAGCGAAATTGGCGTAGCCGACGATGATTCGGGTATTCAAGGTGATATTTATGAGTTTAGCGAGAAGGAGAGTAATCTGGAAGATATTAGAATACCGTCGATAATGCGGCGTAAACAGGAAACTCGTCACACACCCGGGCTCGCGTCACACTTGCAAGAAATGCAATACAACGACGAGTACAACAAAGCCGAACCTCCAGTATTACTTCCACAAGAACCATGGCCACCAGCTAGTTGCAATCAGAGTCAGTTGTTAGAGTCAGATGGCAACGGCCGATCGAGAGAAAATTCTGTAGATAGCGAAAGTCTAAAAAGGTACACGTCGTTATATTTTTGTATTTCAAGTTTTTATTCACTTTGCAAGATTATATCTGAAAAAAAAAGAATCGTTTCGTTACAGATTATCAGCTTGTAGCAACGATAGCGCGCAAAAATTAACAACTCCTTCGGAGTGTCAATGGCAGATGAATAGTTCCAATTGTCAAGCGTGTCCAACCACTCCAGAGAGAACCGGCAGATTAAAACTTACTCTACGCATGAAACGTTCGCCAGTTTTGGAAGACATCGTAGAATCGGGTACGAGTTTAAGCGAAGATAGTTACGAACCTGAATACGAAGTATTACGCGTCGAGGGTGTGGAAAGAAGCAGGCACAAGAAAAAACATAAAACTCGAGATCGCGAGAGACGACACAAGAAACGCGAATTAAACCTCGATCCTCCTCCACCGCCTATGAAGAGGTTGCGTTTAATTTTTGGCAATGAAACACATACCATCGACTTTCCACATTCTTAACAACTATAAACAATGATTCTCCATACCTGGAACAAATTATAAATACAACTTAGACATGTAACGACAGGGCTCCTTATCTCGTAACATTGTGAATTTATTTGTAGTTCAAGCGATAAGCGATGTGCCGTCGCCAAACTTTACAGATATCCGACGATAAAACTATCGCGTTCCGATTTTGTGTTATTTTTTACTATTTAAATTTTGTCTCGCTTCTCGTTCTCGTTCCAACAACGAACAATCGAAGGCCTAGTAAAATTCCTCCCAAGACGGAAAACAGTAACGAAAAATAAAACAGGGACGTACATTGATTTATAGCGAACGTTCGTTCGAAAATTTGACACAGCGTTGCTCGAAGCAGTTAACGAACAAGCAATTAGTTCATCGCGACACGTTCGTTCGTAGTAAAATTATAGCATTTTATTTTTACCATTTTCGACGTAGCGAGCAAATTTTTAAAATCTGTGGTCTTTCGTCGTCGATTTATTCTCGATATTAACGAGTTTACGTCATTGTTAAACTATTTTTTACCAAGAAAATATTTACGTCGTATTCAAATTTCACACGTATAGGACAAAGGGAACAGCGATCGTCTCTCTGTTTTAAAGGAACAAGGAAAGAACATAACGAGTCGAATTATATTCAATTGCTATTTCCGTAGACGAGGACAAAGGGAAAAAAAAATGCATACTCTTATACTATGTATAATAGTTGTAATAGTCGTAACGATAGTAATAATAACAACAGTAATAATAATAGTAATAATAATTCAACAATTAAATTAGCTAAATATTAGGTAACACGTGTTAACTGCTGTCCTCGGAATGCGTGAAATTAACTATCGTGAAAAAAAATTGTAAATATTGCTCGTACGTACGTACGCGCGTGTGTACGCATATGCGCACGCATCACAAATGACGATACATACGCGCATAGTATCCGTACATAGACAAATCGCGCGACAGCAAGTACACGCGCGCGCGCGCGCACACACACACACACACACACACACAATTCGCGTAAGGAAATTTCATTACTGTATCTCGTACATCGATGTACATGTCACAATGCCTTAATGCAAATATAAAGCAAACGCATTGCACGTAAATGTTATCGTACATCGTTTACGTACAGTAACGAAAAGAACGTACAAGACAATTTTATTCAGCGAGATAAATTAAAGAAAAGGTTAATTAAAAAGAATTAAAAGACAAATAATTAATTTTTCAACAGAGTTTCTCACAGGGATTTAGAGGAACGGAACTTTACATTGAATCGGTAGAGATCGTTGTTTCGATTACGAAACAAATTAAACGATGGAAGCACAAAGCTTAATCGGAAGACATTAGAACAAACGTTCAGATCCGAGGAAGTTTGGCGGACAAATTTTCCTTTCAAGTCACTTCTTTGCTCTTAAGCGACGTAACAAAAAAAATTCATGCCACTTTCGCTGTATCGTCAAGACGTTCGTATTTCTTCCAAACAGAATTTATCAACAGATTTTACGTATTTGATATTTGCTCGAGAAAACGTTGCGAAGAAAGAGAAAAACATTATTTATTTCTCACGATTAATCACGGATGGTGAAATCACGATGAAAGTAACACGCGAAACGTTGATCTTCAAGTCGCGGTTTTTCCCTTATTTCACTTATTTACGACTTCAATCACATATATCCGACGTATTCACGATACGCGAAGATGAAAATTTCAAGAACGTAAACATCCAGCGATGTCTTTGACGTTCACTCTGATCCGTCGCTCGTTCAACGTGTACTTTAATTTTAGAAATGAATTTTAAAATTCCGATTCGGCCAGAGTTCGTGCAATTCTGTTACAATAAATTATTACGATCGATTAAAATAATTTTATCGATTAACATTAAATGTTGGCAAAAGTTTCGATCTTCGTGCATCTCTGTCGCTGTATCTGTCATCTAACGATAACAACGATTGCCAAGTAAATATTTCGAAGGAAATTGAAATACACTCGAGACGCGGGAAATCCACACTACTCCGGCTAATAAATTAACAAATTGAAATTGATCGCGCTATTTACTCATTTTATATATATATATATATATATATATATAT